TCTATTCGCAGAAAACCTACAACTGAGAGAAAATAAGATTTTTGATAAATTCCATATATTCTCCGTGTCGCACAATTTTGGCTCATATGTGTGCATCGCGCGCAAACGTTATCCATTTTTGTCAGGCGTGTATAAAACTTCCGACATGCAAAAGATTTCCTTACGTCAAGAAATCATATTTACAGTTGCGTGAACGCGGAAGATATCACAATGTGGATATCCGTAACACTAACACGTGACACGTAATACATAACGATACGAATCGGTGAATAAAATAGTTTATATCACAAACTCACGACGGGGCTAACTACATACGAACCCTGAACTTTTGGACCGCTTTCCCTTCTTTTTTTTTTCTATTGAATTCAAATCCCCTGTAACCCTTCATCCGTAAGCGTCGATAGTGTACTTCGTACAATCGCGACGCTTCAAAAACGTTGTTGTCGCGACGCTTCAAAAACGTTGTTGTCGGCACTTGCAATAGATAAGCTCGAAACCTGTGTAAAATGCGAACGCGTGCTCCTTCGTGAGTTTGCAGGAAAAATTTCCGTCGGGAAACTTCTTAATTGAGCGGGAATACGTTGGACGATGCACTTTGCAATCTTTGCATTTTTCCGGTCTCGTATTTTCCGTACTTTGCATTTTCCGCAAAAGTGCAATGCGAATAGTTGGAAGTCCATAACTCTGAGATACATCTTCACCATCGATACAGCCGAGTGGCGTATCGTGAGATGAAAATTATGATTTTCTTGTGAGCATCGCAATCGAAGATCATGATTTCAGGTAAACAAGATATTTTCTTCGCTTACGCGAGAAATTCATATACGTTCCTGCGGAAAGTTCATATACAAGACATGCCAATTATGTCGTATCGCCTTTTATCTATTCTTCGTCCAGCTCTCAATTTAGAAGGTAAAAAAAAATTTTACGAAACTACTTTAATTGTGCAATAAAAAAGCGGACAGAACGTAAACAAAAATTTGCATTTAGTTGCAAGAGTTGTCGCTTTACGCGTGATGGAAGATAAACGAACATTACATGCCCGGACTTTGCACTACGTTTCGTAAGATAGCGTGATGGTTTTATTGTAAAGGTAAAGGGATTAAGTGGCATTACTTTGCATTGTCCTTTGTAGGCGAGGGCAATTTATGCGGGGCCGTTCCTCCGCATAAAGTGCAAGCGTTTCGGCGCAATGCTCGTCTTACTAATTTAATTGCTTTATGCCCATAAGAACCACAATTTGCAACGAATTCGCTAGATTTTATTTTGAGATCACACTGGATTAATGTTATTTGAAATTTAATAATATTAATCAAGCTGTTTTTTGACATTTTTGTTTAATTTCATATTGTCATTCCATCGTGCAAGTATTACCGCGTTTTTGTTACGTTAATATATTAATATATTAATATATCACATATGTTCTATCATAATCTCTCTTTATACGTTGTGTCAATATAAAATCTGAGAAATTAATAATAATTTATAAAGTAGAAGAAGAGAAAATTGTTATCGCATACAAATTGGCATCGAATACGATAAGCATGTTACAGTAAATGGAAATATGAAAATGGAATATTTTACCACAACATGTCAAAGACTTCTTGTTAGATTTATTGAGAGAAATGGCGTTATAATATTTACCGTCAGTGACGGTAATTCTATTTGTTTCAATTTATTTTCAGCCGCCGACGCATGTTTAGTACGAACAGAAATTTCGCGATACGTTTTACAAACGTGCCGAGTTTTGCTCAGTGTTTATATGTATGTACATCACTCTTCAAATATCCTCGTAAAATTCAGCCGACAAAGTTGCCGGCTTCTCGTGGCACACCGCGATATGTTCTACATCTTCGTCACACCGCGTCTGTAAAATTCATCTCCTAGGAGGAAAAGGCATTTTCCTTAAAGTATAGCATCTCACGCCATTGCGAGAAATTACAGTACGCTTATATCTGCATAACCAATTATATTAACGTCACAAATATAGAGCTGTATGAAGTATTTCATTTTAAATATCCACGCTTTTATCCGTTTTCAGCCCCCGATATTAAAATAAATAGCTGTCGACGTTTTAGTAATGTGTTATCCTTTTACATTCAGCGCGGAATGGATTAATTATATTTAAAACTTTAATTTGTAATTTGTAATTGCATTTGCCCCCTCCCCCCCCCCCCCCCCCTCCCCAATGCCGGTAATATCGAAGAGTGGTACTCTCAGTCGACTGGCCTTTTAAAATAACATACGCAATAATTGTTGACGATAACCATTCGAAAAGTGGCTATTGCAGTTTCTCGGCTATCTCGTATATAAAAAATAATATAATTGATTGATATAATCTCTTGACGAAGAAGGGAAAAAAAGGGACGAAGAATTTTATAGTAAGATATTACAATACAATCCACATATATTGCGAAAATGTTAGCATCGAAGAAGAGCGAAGATAGCGGAACTATTTTTAGTCACGTCTGTCACTACGAGAATGTCAGATAAATCGATCAGCAACTTTCATAAGACGCGTTTTTCCCATCTTCCATTTGGTCTCATAAAATTCATATAACCAAGTTACATTAGACGATACCAGCTACTGCCAGCCGTGAATTTAAATTCAATATACGGAGGTTCCTCTCGCGCAAAAGAGACGGGCAAACTTTCCTCGTAAGTCAGTTTCTTTTGTATCGTTCAACAGACGTGCATCATATTGAATCTCTCTTTATCTCGAAACTCCTTGTTTGCATCGCGACCGCAATTACATAATGGACATACATTACAGTAATTCCAGCTTTCTTTTACAAACTGAACAAAAGCTGCAGACGCACCATATAAAAAGAAACTATATTGAACCATGTATATAAATATATATAATATATACATCTGTATAATTTCTGCAAATAAGATTTTTTTATAAACCGATATTGTT